ATATACTTTTGAGGCTTTCGCTTTTTGAGAAAGGTACTTGGTTCAACATACAAAGAGCAAAGGCCACCTGGCCCACCATCCAGTGGTATGCCTTGTCGATACTCACACCCCAGATGATGAGGCCGATGGAGGTGAGAAGAGCCGCGGGATAAGCCAGCCACAGACGCATCTCGGCTGTTTTGACGCCTCCATTGCGCTTTGCCAGCTTTATCACAAGCCAGTCGCTTAGCTGTCCTGAGAAGAAAATTTCCGAGATCAGAGTTCCGACAATCAGCCCGATGAAGAAGAGTCTGTAACATCTGTTGTTAGCTTCCGTTGCCCGATTTAGGAAATCTTCAATCTATGTAACCTACCCCTGGACTTGCGGCGAATAATCAATGTAGGCCACGGGAATCATCGTGATGACCGACAGCACCCACCAATACCACCCGAAGCAGTACACTCCCGTTGCGATGGGCACCACAGAGAACTTGAACAACTTCCCGAAGCGCACAATCGACGCCCACGGCTTGGGATGCTTCATCGCCGGCACGGGCTTCACATTCAAGAATCCCAACTTCTTGGTCCTCGTAACATTCACTGCCTCTGGTGCTGCCGTCGGTCCCACAGCCTTCTCGTCTATGAAGCCGTCTGTGGCGCCAGACACGACACCTTTGGTCTTGGAAAGCATATAGTCCCTCGGATACAGCGTCTCGGGCAAGAAAGTAAGCTCTGCGACGAGGATGACAGCGAAGAAGATGGCCGTCATCCACTGGATCCAGTAGTGGTCGATCAAATCCACGAACCCACCAATCAGCGGGCCTGCAAGGAGACCCAAATCGATGGCCAGAACCCAAAGGCCGACCTTTTGTCCGCGCTCGTGCTCGAAGAACATGTCATTGATGATGGCCAGGCCGACCGTCGCGGCGGGACTGACGCCAAGCCCCTGGAAGAGGCGAGCCGCCATGTAACCCCCGTACGAAGGGGCCTTTGCGGCGCCGATGGTCGCGGCGAAGGCGACGACGGTGCCTGCGATGAAGATAGGCCGACGGCCGATGATGTCCGCGGGGGAGGACCATATTAAGGGGCCGATGGCGAGGCCGAGAGCCGGGATGGCGACGGTCCAGTTGACCATTTCGAGAGTGAGGGAGTATTGCTCCTGTAGCTCGGGAAAAGAGGGGACCGTTGTAGTCGTGATGTAGGTGAACATGAAGTATCTGTGTTTGAACCAAGTCAGTCTCAATATTCGCCGCGGAGCTGTGTGAGACTAGACATACAATGCCATCACGATGGCGAGAATTGTGTTCTTCTGGAAGGCGGACCAGTTGAGGGGATCCATGGCGTCGCCCGCGACGGGCTGAGGATGTACGCTGAAGCCATCTTTGGTCAATGTGACCTCCTGTGTCGTCTTGCCGATGCCGTTCTCCTCAGGTCGTGGCGATGAGCCAATCTTTTCCTTCTCATTCACCGAGTCTGCCATTGTGACTTGCAGACTTGTAGTCTTTCGTAATGGCTCGATGTTGTGGCGCAAGCAAATGATCCAAGTGGCTTGGAATTGAAGGTTATTAGAACAATGAAAAACACTAGGGGTATCGTTAGAAAGACAAAAACAACCTCCAAAACCACGGTGATTCAGAGCATTCTTTCATCGACGCGATAATGGGATGGACCTGCGCATATGTATATCAAAAACCCTGCACCACCACCCTCCCCTATCTATAGAAGTCAATGATCAATCGACTATCCGCATCCTTGTAGCCTTGTCTGCACCATATTCCACTGCAGACATCGAACTAGGACTCTGGGAGACAAGCTTTCGGATGGGCACAAGTCTTGCAGCAGCATCAAGGCACCATAACAAACCCCCTGCCATCGAGCACCTTCCCCCCAAAAGTAGTGTTAGTCAATGCCATTGAATAATTCCTCCCTCGAGTCTCATTGGTCGATTCCTGGTTTGCTGCCCTGGCGTGTACTGCAATCGAGCATCTCTACCCGGTAAGTGGTCGTAGAACGTCAAAAGATAAGGCCGCGGGGTGGAGAAAAAGGGAAGGGGGCTTCGGAGGCACGGGAGTGTGCCGGGGCGAGGGGAGGACCCGCCAAGAGATAAGAAAGAATGCAACGGCAGCTCTTCAAGTCCTTATCTCCTCCCTCTCAAGCAGCAAGCCCTCTCCCTCCTTTCTCCCATCCCAACTCCCCACGCTTCGCCAAAACTGGCATTACCGCTGAAGATGACGCTTCCTAGTCAGATTTTCTGCCGTTCGACTGATAAGATGCCGCGTCCCAAGATGCTGGAACTGACGTTTCTTGTCTCAATACAGAAAGTCTGTCGCACGACGTGCAGCTACCTACTTCAATATTTTGCGGGGAATCTTCAATCCGCCTCGCGTGGCGGTCCGAGTCTCACAGTTGTGTCGCTCATTGCCTTATTACCGGGTCTCATGATGACTTCATTGCTTTGATTCTTCAGCTTTTAATCGTTTGAAATGCCGGCGATGCGGTATCAAGCAACGCGTGAGCGATTAATCGACGAATTTACACATCTCATCTCGCGACTGCCTTAGGGCTTATCTTGGCGCGGGCGAGCCTTCGTTCTGTCGTGGCATGGCAGATCTCGTTTCGGCGTCGAGACCGATCCTTCTCTAGGAATTACAAACTCGGCACTTGAGCTGTCTTCATTTCTAAGCGAGCGCGACTTTCTGTGTGAGGCCGGGGTAGGCAAGCAGCTCACTGCCTCCCTTGGCGGGACTAGGACTGGCAAGACTCACTGGGCTCAAGTCTCACACTCGCATTTGTATTGCAATCGAACTTGGGGATCCTATGAGTCTCAAAATCATGTCACTAATGTGCGACGTAGACCGGAATATGGGGTCAAAAGTCTATCAAAGTCTGCCGTGCTTGTGGTGAGTCGACCATTCGACAATGATTGGGCTAAGATGAAGTGTGTTTGAGCAATACCGATGATTAAAAACCATGCAACATCTTCATGCCGGGCGATAAGCGAAATCTTTCAAAGGAGCCAATAGCGACTGCAGGTCGGACTGTTGTCAGGCATTATCATCCTCCCTACGCCACATTACCTATTAAGACCTGCAGGAGAGCGATGCGGCGCATGAAAGAATGTTGTGGCTATGTGATTAAGTCCGACCTCTATGAGTGGCTTTGTGTATCATCCATAAATCAATCAAAATCCCAGAAACCCACTACAACCAACTCTCCTATCGTGAAGTTCGTTGGAGATGTGATAGGCGTCTACAACATGGACCTATCTCAAGAGATCGAGAATTCGAGGCACGCAACCAGCGCTCCACTCACCGCAATCAAACTTCACCTTGGCCCTTCAATTGCTTGGCTAATCTTAGTGTTGAAGGTTACTCTAGCTATCAGCGCTACCTAGTCGTTTATGTTGCTCGAGTAAAGTGCTGCCTGGAATTCTATCACTCTTCAACCAGTCAGGAGCCTTGATGTGGTAAATTCAAAAGGTCCATGAGAGGCGAAGTGTAGATCATCTGATGAGCATCCTTTGAGTGAGAAATCCCTATGAATGCTGTCGTCTACCAATCTTTTTACTCTGCCAAAGTATCCCATCCAGGGGCGCAACGAGACGCCCAACGCAAGCTTGGACCCAGATATAAGAATCTGCTTGTTGTCACCTTCACTTAGACAGGATTGAAATTGAGTACTTTGTTGATCGATAAATCGATACCAAAGGCTCTCCGGCACAGAATGTATGGCCTTGATGTTCTCAAGTAGTCCACTATGTCCACATGATTATTGAGAAAGAAGACCGCGCTGCCCGCTCACTCATGAGAGCATGCTGCATGGCCTGCATTGTGAATCATGATCTTTTTCGTAGAGTTTTGATACGTTTTTTACTTGAAAGATGCTGCAGTACAACTAACACAAAAAGAGAAATTAAGTAGAATGCAGTGTAGAAAATCTCTTGATTCTTCTCAGTGGGGATACGTCAGAGGTAGCAGCATCTATATCATACGGGACGGGTTGTTGTCCCGCAGTAGGTAATTCAGCGGTATCGTACGGCAGTAAGAGGCAGCGCCATAGGTGGGGCTGCGACAACATTGGATCGTAAGCACCAAGATGCTTTACAACGTTAGCTTGGTAATGAGACTAATATGAGTGGATAGATCCCTCAAGGCTCAACCCGAACAGGACGGAGTAGTTATATATGCATAAGATACAATTACCCAACACTCAACAACCCGGCGAAATGTATCCCAATCAGGAGAAAATATTAAACCTCCCAAAATTCATAAATCACCGACTCACAAACTCCTTAATCAAGTCTTCGGGTGACCCGGCGCCCACAGACCATCAGTCCAGCACGTTCCAGCCCCAAGGGGGGAACCCGAAAGGGAACGGAAAGGGAAACAAAGTTCGGACGAGACATGGATTGAGAAAAACAGTCATCGTTTCCAACATAGTGTTCACCTGATACAGGATCCTCGATGCTCTATATGACGAGGGAACAGGCACCGAGCTGCCAGAAGAGGGATCCCTCTCCATTCCTGAGAGAAAGCCCCACAGACCTGCCGGGCTGATTACTCGCCTCTCCGGCTTGTCCATGTCTTCTGGGGTGATTAGTAATATAATTAAGGCGAATTAAACTGCATTCAGGAAGGAGTCGAAGCGCAATCCTAACACTGACATTAGGAACTCTTCATCGCGATTCAAGCACAGAACAAATCCAGTCACATAGGCGAGTAATGATTAAGTGAAGTGTATAAGCAGGACCATTCTAGTCCGCCCTTTCCATTCGTCTAGTATACTCCGGCACGGCCGTACGTAGCTAGGTAGTAAAGGTAGAAGTCTTTTTGTCCAAGATCCACGTCGGTGTTGTACACGAAAACCAACAAGTGTCGTTATAGTATATACAAGTGAAAAAGTCCAACAAAGCAATCATGTCTTCATGAGCCTAGTGGGTTGAGCTACCCTCTTTCGCCAAAGCGGCTCGGGGTTGGCTCGAAGTGAGTCCTCGCCTCTCGCTCTCAGTTGAGACGCGAAATTTAAACGCGGCGGACGACGTCACGGGCGTGCTGGCGGGCCATGCGGCGGGCCAGGCTGCGCTTGCGCTTCTCGGCGCAGGAGGGCTTGCCAGTGGCGGCAGGCTGCTGGGCAGAGACGGAGCTGGAGGCAGGGGCGGAGGTAGCGACGGCCTCAGCAGCAGCGGTGGTGGTGGCAGCAGCAGCAGAGGTGACGGCGGGGGCGGTGGAAGAAGCGGCGGCGGCAGAGGTGGCGGCAGCAGTGGTGGTGGCGGCGGGAGCGGCGGAGGAAGCAGAGCCAGAGCCGGAGCCGGAGCCAGAGCCACCGAAGACGGAGGGAAGGGCAGGGCCAGGGATGGAGTAGCTGGTCAGGGAGTTGTAGATGGAGATGAGGATACCGGCGTCGGTGGCCTTGTAGAGGGCCTCACCCTTGGTACCAGCGGGAAGGTCAGAGCCGGAGCCGGTAACCTCAATGTTGAGGCACTGGGGGTAGTTCTGGGCACCGTTCTCCTGGCCAGCGGAGTGAAGGGCAATGATCTCGTGACGGAGAACGTAGTTGCCGGGCTTCAGGGAAGTGGGGATGGTGACAGCCCAGGAGTTGTTGGCAGCAATGAGCTCATCGGAAGCCCACTTGTTGGCAGAGGCGTCAACGAGACCGGCCTCAGCGATCTTGAAGAACTCGAGGGAGGTCTTGTCGACGGTAGAGCAGTCAGTGCCGCAAGAGGCGAGGTAGTCGATAACGGGACCCTTGTGGGACTCGGGCCAGGTGTTCCAGAAGATCTGGAGCTTGTCACCAGCGGCGACCTTTGCGGTGAGCTTGGCGTTCTCGGAGTTCTTGTGGCAGATGATGTCGGCAGCGGCGTAGGAGGAGGGGTCGACGAAGCCGTTGTCAGTGGCGGTGTTCTTCCAGCCGTAGCTACAATATTGTCAATGTCAAAGTTGCTTTGAATCACATGGTGTCCCACTTACACGTCGGGGGGGCTGCTCATGTAAGGGAGCGAGGTGACGTCGTAACCGGCGAACTGCTCAGAGCCATCGGTGAAGTAGTTGACGTGACCGTGGGCCATGACAGAGGCGGCGCCGGCAATGGCGGAAAGGACAGCGGAGTTCTTGAAGGAAGGCATTTTTGCAGATTTTCCAAAAGTGTTAAGTTTGGTGTTGTTGGATGTAGTTTTCGTTCGTGGAAAGAGTGGATTCTGACTTCAAGTCGTAAAGATAGTGAACTTCAATCAATGAAGTGTTCAAATGAAAGAAATGTGCTGAAAAGCGGAAAAGAGTGTGGGAATGGAAAGCTGCGGGAATGAGCCTGTTGGATGAGGAGAAAAAGAGTAGGAGCAGACGATGTGAACGAAGAGAAGAGGACCTTATATCTCGAGATAGCCCAGAGTAGCGCTCATGGTCGTGGGTCGTGGCGCATACCTGCGTTGCGTGGATGCAAGCAATTTCGACCACGCCCATCAGGAGACAGTATCGATTCTCATCCCATGTAAGCCATGCTAGGACCACTGCGGCCCCGTCTCCGTCCCTCACGGAGCAGAGCCAGGGGTCATGTCCAAGGAGTCCCTGTGCAAATCCATGGCCGGGCGGTGTCCAGGCTGCGTTGGCCAGGCACAAGTTGATTGCGAATGGGTTGTGAATGTGATCGAGTGGAATCGTAAGGCGGGGGGGGGTTCGACGTTGAAGCAGGAGGCGCCCACCCTGCATCGAAAAGGAAGGGGGTCGTGGGGCCGGCGTCTACCCCCCGTTGTTATCCCGGGATCTAGAACCGCAAGCAGAAGCCGAAGCGAGGCCATCGCGGCTGGAAACGTGCCCATAGGTGGAAAGGCGGGAAACAAGCGGGGGTGGTGGCCATGCCGAGCAGCCATGGCGAGATCAAGCCGTTTCAGCATAAATGAAGGTGGTGACTTGTTGTATCCCGTAGTGCAGGGTTGAAGCAAGGTGACCTAGTGCACGTTGGCCGCTGGCGGCGCGGTAAACAGATCTGAGGCGCCAAAGCAGCGCAGTTATGGCGGGCATCTTGTTGCTCGCTTGTCGAGAGTGGTAAGATCTGTCTGTTGGTTCTAAGGTGGCATATGAGCGACATCGAAAATCATAGTAGCATCTGCTGTGAAGATCTGTGAATGATCCACCCAAGGTTAAGCTTAGGGACCGGCAAGCCTTCTTGGGATTGACAGAGGCATTAAATCGTGGATTGGCATGTTAGTTCGGAGTCAGTGAGCCGAAGCGCACTTACGCCCACATCATATTGGGTCAGTCAGCAAAGGTTAAGCCAAGCTTGCAGTAAGCATAAGTGGCAGTGAGGAGAAGAAATGAGATTGAGGGTGACGGGATGGCAGTTCGTCTGAGCGTTGGAAAGGGGAGGTGGGTGGTCAGTGCTGGCTTGTCGAGTTTGCTTCTGCCGCTGATACTGGCAGCAGGGCAGTGCTTGGCTGGCAACAGCGAGTGACCCTCGGCTGGCTGGCTTACTGGGCACATGCAGCCAGGTCTGGACGAGTTCCAGTGTGAGCCGATACCCGATTGACTGGAGACTTGGAGATTGAAGCCCTGGAGGGATGACGAGTCGAAGCGGGTAAATAAGCAAACTGGGGTGGATAGCGGTGGAGGAAACGGGTTGGCACGTCTGTGATGAGGCGAGGAGGGATGCAGGCCGTAATTCTTAGGGCTTGACGCCTTGCTTGATGGGTGATCCAGCATATCCAGCTGTTCACAACAAGCAAGCATGGCAGGCTTGGCGATGCTTGGTTTTCATCTCGAGTCCTCAATCCAATGTCTGGCTTCCCACTTGAACTCCGACTTGGAATCTTGGACGACGGAGCCGAACTGTGAACATCGTCAAGCCCCCTGGTATCTGTTCTCGAAGCAGCGGATCTGGTCGTGGAGCCTGACTGGCCTCAAGCTCGATTTGGGAGCTGATCAACCTCGATACGGATTTGTATGCAAGCTTCGTATCAATAACGGGCGACAGGCCATTTGCCCCCGTAGCCATTGCCTTTCTGGTTCGAACTTCACGGGGCCCAGTGGGACTGCCGGTGGGCGCTTGTGCGAGCGGTGCTTGTGCGAGCGGTGAGAATCTCGACGATAAAAATGGTGGAAAAGCCGAGAATCGAAATGAACAAGTGGAAAGGAAAGGGTCAACTGCCGCCAAGTTTCGACAGCGCAGGTCTGGATGACAGGGAGAGTCTGGGACTCTACACTAGGTGGTGAGTGCATGTCGTTGGGCTTCGGGACAGCAATCTATTTGCAACTTTGTGAATGGTCTCGATCTGTGCTCGACGGGGTTCAGGCGCGTAAAAATTTTGTCTTCTTGATGTGTGCCTGCAGTGCAGCGCAGGACTCCGTGTGGTGTCATCAAGGGGGGATGCTGGCCATGCAGCCATGCCATGCTCATTGCTGCTGGTCGATGAACTCGGTCTGGTCAGGGGTGCAGCCGGAAGAGGAGTCTGTTTTCTTGGCGATCGTCGCCTCCTGGTTCCCGCAGGGTGCAGCCGCAACTCTGTGCCTGGACCAAAACCCTCTTTTTTCCCATTCTCGACATTTCTTCGGACTCCCACTGCTGACTCATCTGGATCCCAAGGGACATCCGAACTCGACGAGAAGGAGTGACCAATAGTGTTGCAGGGCTCCTCCTCTTCTGGTCCGTCATGTCCGCAGAGGCTCCAGGGGCACGCAGCAGGCACGCCGGGTAGGCAGTTGCGTGAAAGCATGACCGCATGGGCTCCTGCCGCTGAGCGCAAGTTCAGATGGCCCAACCAGGGCTCATCTCACCCGCGCCTCTCCTAAGAAACAGCCATTGATGATGGAGGAAGTTCCTTCCTGCCAGCAAACAAATCGTTGCTTGTCGAAATCACTGATAGCCATCCATGTGCCTTCCCGGAGACCCAAATTCGCGCGGCCTGAAACTGCAACCTCCACTTCCACCTCCTTCCACTCCACGTTCTCGTGGGTACGTACCGCCACAGGGGTGGAGCTAGATGAATCCATGGATCTCGGTCAGTGGATTTCCCTCCTCGATGGATCCACCCATCATCAATTCTTGGCAGCCATGGGCCAAAAATGTCCCTTTCTTCCTTCCTTTTCTCCCCTGTTCAATTTATTTTGATTGTTCCTTCCAAGTGTCCTGCACGGCATCGCCAGCTTCTGCCTTCCGAGACCTTCGCTTGATCTGGCCCGTGCATCTTACCCATTTCCAATTTTTCGAGCCTTTTGCCAATTCTTTCCTAATTCTCCTCTGATGGGACGGATATTGGATCGAAAAAGGAGGTACTTCCCTGTCTCACCTCTTCCTGCCAATCTGTCTAAAGTGCAAATGGATCAATATCTCCGTGCTCCCATGTCTCGTCCCGTGCTGTTTATCCGATGACGTTATGCTTCCATCAATCTTCTTTCCCCCTCCAGGCCCCGTCCCTCCCACCTACCGTGACTTTTGGGGGCCCCTGCCGGCCACTTACCGACACCGTCCCACTCGACGCGTCTCTTACGTAGGCAACTTTTTTGGGTAGAAGCTTCCACACAGGGATAGAACCACTTCCTTCAGACACTTAGAGACGCGCCGTAATTGTTACCATTTGCCTAGCAAACATTGTCCGACTCAGAGACCTCTTCCGTCCACTTCACCGGAGCCGTGTCCGTCTCCGTATTCCGCAACATTCTTGATAATGCCGCCCAAGAAAGCCACTGCCGCCGCTCCCAGCCCGTTGGGTGAGGCTGACGCGAACCGCGTCGTGGGCCAAAACACGGTCGCAAAGGTACGCAATTGCGCAGATATCTCGACATTCTTGAAAGAATATGTGTCTCATTATGCCGTCTCATGATTATCGTCTGTCACGAGTCGGATGCCAGGATTCTCTTTTCTATCGCCTTCAGAAGCCAATGCCGTGACACAGCTCCCAAAGCTGACACCGTGACACGTCCAGCCCGCCGAGAAGCCGGCGCCAAAGTCCCGCAAGCGCAAGTCGGACGCCGCTGCCGACGGTGATGGTGACACCGGCGCCGCTGCGCCAGCTCCCAAGAAGCAGGCAACCAAGAAGGCCGCTAACAAGCAGGATCCCCTCCCGGACCTCTCTGAAATCCAGCTCCCGGGTGACGGTGAGATGAAAGTCCCCGTCTTCGACACTTGCGACATAGTCCGCACCCAGATCCGCGCCATCCTTGAAAAAGAAGGCGTCACAAAGGCAGCCTTCCTACGCGCCATCGTCAAGGCCGCGTACCCCGCTGGATCGGACCACAAGATTGCTCCCAACTTGCTCACCAATTTCATGAACAAGAAGGGACCCGCGTCTGGCAACACCAGCAGTGTCTTTTATGCAGCCTATGTCTTTTTTGAGAAGCTTCGTGTGAGGGATGGCAAGCCCAAGACCAAGAAGAGAGAGGGACCAAGAAGAGAGAGGAGATGGAGAACGAGTGGCCTAATGGCATGGACACCGAGCAGCAGTTGGACGGTTGGGTTACTTGCCTTGCTGGTGAGAGGCCTCATATTGACAAGTATGGCAAGACTCGTTTCCATTAGCCGCGGGAGGCTGTGTGGTTTACGTTTTTGACTATTTGATTTTCTCTCCCCTTCGTTTAAGCATGTTTTCTTGGGGATATTGAGGGCGCAGTTTGGGCTAGTGCGAATTATCACACTCTTTTAAGACGAATCTTTCCAATACAAGCTGATCTACCTAGCAAGGTGCCCAAAGACTGCCCGAGAACATCGCGAATATCTCGGCCGTCCGAAGTGAAGTAAACCATTGGCTGCTGGAATGATGACTCGAGTATCTACACCCAAGCGGAAGGGACGGCCACTTTACCGATATATCTGCGACGGGGGTGGGTCAGGGATACCGGGCCACCGGCACGGACGAGTCATCGGTACCCTACGGAGTACCTCGGCTTCCCCCGACCACGAAAACCATTGCCATTCACAAACGTCCTGGCCGCTCCCATCCTGGCCCGGCTGAGGGCCCAGTGTGTTGGATAGCTCCAGTCAACCAGTCCAGCATTTCAATCCATCTCTCGCTCGCGGCCGGCTGGGCACACTCTGCCCGTTACTTGACACAAAGCTTGGCGACCCCTGTTGGCGCCTTCACCCCTGACCCGCTCTGAACAACAGACAACGACACTTTTGGTCTTCCACCACGGCGCCTGGCCACCCGTTGGCCTGGCTGTTTTGTTTCTGCTTGCATTTGACAGGCTGTGGACAGCTCTGGTAGGAACTGGTCGGAAAAATCGGAACAGATGCTTGCCGCTCTTCATCAATAAAAAGCAAGCCATTGATTCCGCGTCAGCGACTATTGTTTTAACGATAGAGACTCGTCCACAAGGACGCAGAACGTCCGTGAGATGATGACGATATGGCAGCACAGTGGTCCATTAATTCGTTCATTTAGTTTACCATCTTAACTGGAAGGGAAATCGGCTCGTAACATGGAGCCTTCCGTCTTCTAAGCTTCAAGTAGATATTCTGAGGGGTGGTCTGGAATCTTGCTTCTGATAGATGACTCTTTGTCAACACTGCGGCCTGCTACATGCGGCAAGGATATGACAGCATATCGCGTTCCGCGGGAGAGCAAGCTGAGACTTATCGGTATAGTCAGGGTCACTTTTCCGCAATGAATGAATTTTCAACATATAGCCCAGGTATTTAGTTAAGTATGCGATTTTCATGCGGTGCGAACTACTTCACGGTTCACCAAGGATAGAATTGAGGAGCAGTCGAATAGAATGGTAAGCATACAGACTCGTACTCTCCGTGTACGTGATTGTTGCTGGCCGAGATTCAAACGAAACTGAAGGACAATTGTATCGAGACCCCATCGCATCGCCCTTACATAGCCGCCAGCTTGACCCCAGTAGCAACTTGGCTTTGGTCCAGCGACTTATGTAGCGCCTACATCCGTGGCTTCAATGATAAAGGCGCCGACAACCCCTTTCCCACACCAGTAGTATCCCTGAGATCATGACAACACCGTCCACCGGCATGGACGCCCCTTCAGCTTAAGAATTTCTTTTCCCATATTCCTCAACTGCATCCATGCCCTGTCAATATACGTCAGGTACTCCGGTCTGGGGATCATCAACTCCTAAAAGCTTCCCGACTCAACTCGGGTTGTTGTTCTGCTTCCCTGAACTCAACAACTTTTCCACCTCCCCCGGGCTTGTCGCTTTCACCACCCTTTGCTGGCACCTGCTACCAACAGACTTGATTCTTGCACCACGATCCCAAAGAAGTCTCACCATCTACTCATCCTTGTTGTGAATCGCACAGTCCATGGGCCTCTGTCCACGGCCGATGAGTTCCGGGGAAGCCCCTCTTTCCAGAAGCAAGGTCGTTGATTCATACTGGCCTTCGCAAACAGCCTTGCATAAGGGCGTATGGCCCGCACCGTTCTTCACTTCAGTATTGGGATGTATATTGTCGTCCGAGATGAGGATTTCCAGGGTAGCCGGCCATTTGACAGTAAGGTGAAGTGCCGTGTTACTATAAGGGGTTGCAAGTGGTTGGTCAGGCCGTACACCAGCTCGAACCAACCCTCGGGCTGTGGACTAGTCCATTCCTCTCCAGCTATGCAGTACCCAAAGTATCAGATGATGCCCATATATGGCGATGACCTCCTCCTCCATCTTAAGACAGTAATAAAAAACCCACTCTCGTGGACGAGAGAACAGCCTGGATTATAGGACTCTCCAGAGAAAATCGTTGCTGGACTGACTCCGATATGGGACCCACGCTTGATAAGCTTTGAGAGGATGGATGAATATCGATCAGAAATTCTCCAACATTGCCAGGCTTCCCCTATTGCTATCACGTAGTCATAAGGTTGGATGTTCAACATCTCTAACAACAGGTCGACTTGCGCCGTTTGGTCCCTTCGAATAGCCGCATATAATAGGACCAGTCCCTGGTCCCCTGGCATGCGTACGGAAGCTCCAAAGCTGGTCAGAACTCGTGCGCAGACTTCGTGACCATGTTCGAGACAGACGTCAAGAGTTGATTTAGCTCCGTCCCCAGCCTGGTTCGGATCGAGGCCAAGATTCATTAGAATGCAAAGCACGCCAACTGAACCTTGCCTCGCAGCTACTATCAAAGCATTAGACATCTCCTTTGAAGATGGCAAGCTCTTTTCTGCCCCAAACTCGGCTGTGGTTGCTTTCGCCAGAAAACACAATACGCTATACAGATTGTTCGACTCCAGAGAGACTACTGGTTTGGTAGCGTCAAGGGTAGAATGCACGGCTTTGTCATGAATGACGGCTTGTTGGTTCAAAATCTTGAGCTGGTCGAGGAATTCGTTGTAGTCTTTAAGTATAGTTTTGATGTCGGCTCTGTAGCTTATAATAGACTTGCGTTGCTCGTACAAACTTGAGAAGATCAACAGTTGGGATATATGTTGTTGTGTAGGGTGAAGTAATTGTAGATCATCACATAGGAGCCGTAGGAAGGGGCTGATTGAACGAGTGTTCAGACGAGACTCAATACTCGCACTTACAAATTCGAGCTCCACGCCTGATTTTCTACTTCCGTTCAATGCAAGGACACCCAAAGCCTTGAGCTCAAGGGTATCAGTAGGGAATTGACTCCTCAACGCGGGAACCACGCAGAGCAAAGCCTCTGTATGTGTTCCCAGACCGGTGTCTACGAACATATCCACCACTTTCGTGACCAAAGAACTTCCCATCCTCCAGTTCCGATAGACATGGTCTATAGTTGATTTGGCATTGTTGAATTCGTTTGGGCAAGGGCTTCTCATCAATGCATCCTTGAGCCCGAGAAGCAGACAGGTGAGAAGCTTTTGAGCGCAGATATCGACGAGTGAGCTTTTTGTACGAATGAATTTGATTTCAGCTGACATGGCATCGACTTGGCGATCCTGGGCGTTTGCCTTTATGAGATGTTCTACGAAAGTGGACTAACCCCAAGGTCGAAAAACTTGTCCAGGTTTGAAAGCACAGCTTGTTTGACCACTCATGTCGTTCGACCTCTCCTTCTCCATAGTGGTCCAGGTTGGAGATTTCTTATTGTCTTAGGAACTCAGCCACAGATTCAAGAGGCCAAGTTTCTCTTGCTCTTCAAACCGAAAGATCGCAGTACTCGATTCCCATCGAGCATTGATGGGGTACCAGAGGCTTTCCTCGAACTCCCTGTGCTCATGAAAGGAGATTATTCTGGCATTCTCAACTAGTTCAGTCGCAGATTGTTCCCCAAGTCTGTATTGATCGTTGAGGACAATTGCCCATAAAGTGAGGCCCAAGATCGCCTCAAGATACACCGCATCCTGCAGGTCGACCCGGAAACCCTGGCAAAATCGTTTGTGAAGCATTCGTGTCCAATAAAAAGTGATCCCCGGGATCCCGATGCAGTTGCTCAGCGAAGCAACCCGCAGGCTTTCCCAGCTGCATCAACTCTGAGAAGTAGAGCGGACGCTTTGCGTGGTTGTGCCCGCTTTGACGACACCCAGGCATTTGGGAGGAAAATGAGCACCCTGTGAACGAATGTTCTCGTAAAAGATCAGGCATCATCTGCTGCTCACAATTGATGGCGTCGTTCCTGCGACAAACATTCTCAATGCGAACGCTACCACGTTTTGACAATCCGTCATTAAACACCCGGATAGAGTCTTGTCCGATATCAGCTCTTCTATTTGAGACTCCTTTTTTGATAGGCTTCCAAATTATCTGACGACTTCACAACTCAAAGGCAGCTGGCTCTTTCACAAAAAGACCGAAAGCCTGTTGGACCTGCTTTTGTCCCTGTGTTCTTTTGATACCATTCCGTAAAATTACGAAAGGACGTGGGATAATTAGTCTAGCACGTTGTGGTTTGGTGGTGTTTGTCGCCTGTTCCTCGACTTTTAGATAGTAAGATAAGATTGAACCTGATCTCGTCTGAAAATGATCGTAGCTTGAGAATAAAGATTGGCGTCTGTGAAAGCCGCCCTGTTGACGTTCAATACATTTACTGCCAATGTCAAGTACATCAGGCCCGCCACCCATGGGCAAGTCTTGAACATGACCACATATTTTGAAGAAAGCTTCACCTAGGTTACGGAAATCGGTAGTGTAAGGTAGGGATAACCGGATTGTAAAATTAGATACTCGATGCTGCGACTTCGTCCGTCCATCAAGGCCTTACGTGCTATTCACGCCTGCAGCGTTGGCATCGCTATGAAGGATTTCTGCTACAAAGCGAGGATTTAAGTGGAAGGGAATTTAGCAGATAGTGGCTTGATTCCTCTAGGTGCGCGACCCATTAGGGGTCGTGTCTCAATACTGTACGAGACGGGCAGTCGTCTCGCGGTAGTCAGTATCGTACGGCAGTAGTGGGCAGCGCCGCATGCGGCGCTGCGACAGTTTTCTAATCGTAAACAACTGGAAATTGCAGAGCCTCCGTCTTTCATGGATACATGATTGATAAAAGTTAAGACGCGGGAAGAAATTTCATTTGTAGGTAAATTCGCTTCACTCAAGCCAGGTACTTTTGCAAGTTGGACTTGATAAACCTACTTATCCAAAGAATGGCGCAGCTACTCCGAGCAGTATCATACTTCCACTCGGCAGGTGAAACAAGTATATAAGACTGTTCGCTTGCTAGATTAGAGTTCCTACGAAGTCTCTATGCAGAGAAAGCTTACAACGGCTGATTTGGTTTCAGAGACTGACTCTCTAAGCGCCTGCATGTTGAGTTCTTCATACTCCGAGTGACTTACCACTAACATACGCAAGAACACAACTTGCGAGGAATCTTTGCGGTATAAATTAATCAAATTTCGTCATCTCAGAAACCCATGAGTGGTCAAAATGAAGTCGAGCTCGACATTTTCGTCTCACTCAATATCAATCGGGTGTCGGCAGCAAATCATCCATGTCGCGTGAACTTATGGCCTGAGAACCCTCAAGTGCAAATATGACGTGAAACTTGCTAAAAGTCCTTCAACAATCAATTGAGCAATACGACCGGAATTGGGGTCTTCTTAGACTCTAAGCTTTGCCGATTGTCCGGTAGCGTGGAATTTTTGAGGCCGAGATACCCGCAACCCCTGGGCCTGCTGCGCCCCAGAGTGCATGCAACTCGAAAGTTTCCCAGGCTGGATGGGATTGCTGAGCAAAAACATCGAGGAGTCGCATTTTCCATGATGACTGCGGAAGCATCTCCTTCACGAAGCCGTATTGACCTGGAATGGAGTGCTTAGCTGTAGGGACATTCAGTATTTGCTAGTTGTTGGTCCTAGATAGATGGCGGCTGTGTTACGTGCGAGTTTGTCAATACGACACAAGGAAGCATGTTTGCAGTGATTTGATTTGACTTTGTAACCGCGACCGGGGGCTCAGTCTAGTCCAACAATACAAGCAATAAACACGACACTTAGCCGAGAGTAACCCGATCGAGTAAATACTGGTTTTCGGCGGCTGGCTGCGAAAATTGCAGTCACTGCATGGGGGCAGTATCTTATGTAATAATTGGTAACTTAAAGGCCTAGAAGGTCTCAGTCTTTTAGTACTGTAGAAACCCGTCTTACGGCCACCATTGCAGCTTGCCGTAACGTGCCACTGCCGGCCGTGCTCTCCATGTCAATTAACTTGATTGGTGGAAGGGAGCCAGCAGGTCTTTGGATGATCAGAGGAGACTACAGTCGCATTTGAGCCTAATAGTTACATCGGCCGGGTATGGTCCTCATAAGTCCCAACTATCTTGCCCGTATGAGCTGTGTCACTTGATGCAAACAATCACCAGGTGCGATTTGATCACTCTTTGCTTTTTCAACACAATGCCAAGCGCTCAGCCACTATGTAGCTTCATGTTGATGGATACCTCTGCAGAGCGGGTTGTCAAAGCCCATCACGAAGACAAACTATCGATGAGTAAAGTAGACCGAGGCGGCACGGAGGCGTGGAGGGCCAATCGACTGTCACTCGGTCGATTTCAACTACTGTCCCCACCCTCGAGAGTCGCCAATACGCATTAATAGCGTCAAAACTCTCCCACTCTCTGTTAAGTTTAGCAAGGTTGTGGCGAAGGACGAAAAGGCCATAAATCGGACCCGATGCCGATTATAGGTGACGACAGCAGAAACACGATGGAAATTTTAGTGCTTCCGTTCGGCCAAGCTTTCTTTAGTATGTAGTTTAAAAGCCCAAATGTTTCGTCAGCTTCACATTAGACGATCCACACAACCCCTATCTCCCCTGGTGGGATGAAGATGCTACGACGCTCTGGGCTCATGCCGACAATCTGACTCGTCGGTCCCCTGCGTTGCAGCGAGCACTGTTCTAGAAACGATACCAAGCCGAAATCGCTCTCGGATCACTGAACCTCTTTGTCCATTGCTGGGCTGGCCACCCCGCAAATTTCATGATCTCCACCGTCAACGCTTTGGCGAACTGCACAGTCAACCTCCGTGGCGGTACAAGATGGGGTCATCGGTAAATTAATCCGCCAACAGGATGAGGCCGGTCTAGAAGGCTCGGTTCCAAAGTAATGAACCCCTTGTGGCCGCGGACTGCCGCTGCGGGGTGCACCCCAGCTAGCAGTCTATCCTTGTTAAAGTTCAAAAGCTCGGGATTGGTTGTTTAATCGGGTTTAATCTACGGAGCACCTCCTGTCTGCCGATGGCCGTCTCCACCAATCATGCCCGGCTACTCCAGGAGCCCAGCATCTAGCTGAACACGCGGAGAAGGGAGGGAAGACGAAGCTCTCGTGGCTCTGAACTTTCGCATCCAGCCCGTCGGCACTAGAAGCCTTGTGGGCCTCTTGATTGAAGTACATAAGGGTGAGCCAAGCCGCTCTATAGTTGCTAGTCCGGATGATCTACTCTTAGGCCAACCTTGGGACGAACCAAGACCACATTCTTTTCCAATCTTCTTCTTTTTACTCGACACAATGAAGTCCTTTCTTACCGCTCTTACCTTCGTCACGGCGGCTCTGGCAGCCAGCCGCACCTCCGCACCTTCTGGATGCTTGACTGTCAAGAAGTCTGGTGGCCAATACAGCACCATCCAGAAGGCCGTCGACGCCCTCTCCACCACCGACTCCGCCAAGCAATGCATCTTCATTGACCAAGGCACCTACAGCGAGCAGGTCCTCGTCCCCGCGCGGACGGCTCAGCTCACCATCTACGGATACACGGCCGATACGAGCAGCTACGCCGGCAACAAGGTGACCATCACCGCCAAGAAGAGCCAGGCTGACGGCCTCGACAATGACGGCAGCGCCACCCTCCGCATCAAGGCCAAAAACTTCAAGCTCTACAACGTCAACGTAGCCAACACTTACGGCAAGGGCAGCCAGGCCGTGGCTCTCAGCGCCTACTCTGACAGCGCATTCTACGCCAGCGCTTTCACCGGGTTCCAGGATACCCTTCTTGCCCAGCAGGGTAACCAGCTTTACTCCAAGTGCCTCATCCAGGGTGCTACGGACTTCATCTTCGGTCAGAAGGCCATGGCCTGGTTTGAGAAGTGCGACCTTCGCGTTGTGGCTGCTTCTCTCGGCTATGTCACTGGTAAGAAACCAGCTTCACACCGATATCAAGGGACAAGACGCTAATAAAAAATAATAGCCAACGGCCGTGCCAGCTCGTCCGATAAGTCCGAATACGTCTTCAACAGCTGCAGCATCGCCGCCGCCTCCGGAAACACCGTTGCCGATGGCGCCTACTACCTTGGCCGTCCCTGGGGCCAGTATGCCCAGGTTGTCTTCCAGAAGACCTCCATGACCGGCGTCATCAACTCCGCGGGCTGGAAGCAGTGGAACGACGGCGACCCTCGCACCGCCAACGTTCTGTTCGGAGAGTACCAGAACACCGGCATCGGATCCCAGGGCACTCGCGCCAGCTTCTCCAAGAAGTTGAGCGCTGCC